TTGGGGTTTGGCCGCCGGGAGTGGTGCGGAAGCCCCAGAAGCTGGCACAGGGACTGCTACGGCCGGGGGTGCGGGGACCGTGGCCTGTGGGGCAGGGATGGATATAGTGCAGGTCTGGAACTGGTTCTCAATCTGCAGACATCTGTCCTGCAGGGCCGATACGGCCTGTGTCAAATTAGATAGGTGCCTGCAGATCTCCTCAAGCGGAGAGGGCCCTCCTCTAGACTCAGTCATGGCCTTCTGGTACTGTAAGGGACCGCCCGGCGGTACCACTAGCACTCCACTGAATAGGCGTCCCCAGCGCACGGAATCTAAGTCCCAGGGTGCTTGTTCACCAGGGCCCCTGATGGTGGGGATGGACTTGGAGCCCCCCGAGACCAGGTCGTGGCTACTGGGTACGTCCGTCAGTGGTAGTGGTATGCGCCAAGGGCTCCCACGGGAAAGAGTCTGATATGAGGAGGTCAGAAGACCCCACTGGGATGGGCGGATGGATGGATGGATGAGCAAGGTCAGACGGGCCGGGTCGGTAACAGAGAGGACGGTAAGGTACAAGACAGCGGGCAGAGAATGGTCGGGTCACACGCCAGGTCAGCAACAGCAGGTCAAATCCAATAGGGGGCATCCAGGAGAGAGGTCAGGCAAAGCAAGGGTCAGGACAGGAGAAATTAGCAAGGTCAGGTACAATCCGGGTCAATAACTTACAGGGCACAGGTTCGCAGAATCACAGGATGCAGGAAAGACCAGAAGGCACTGAATGACAGGTCAGGGCCATTTAAATATCCCGCCCTGCGCTGCCATTGGTGCCCAGCGGGCGGCCGCGGCTTCTACTGCGCATGCGCGAACTCGAACGCCGCAGCCGGCCCGGACGTAGTGCCCGTGTCCCTGCACAGGGCGGTGCACTGGAGCTGCAGAAGACCAGTACTGGGTCATGGCCCGACCAACGTACAGTCAAAATGTTAGCCGAGAGTACTATAGGGAGGCATTTGTGTTGCATAAATATATGGTCGATTCTAGACTGGGAGTGGTGCAAGTGAGAATAGTGTGTGAAGTATTTTGCTAAAGGATAAAGTTCTGTCCAGATCAACCAGGTCATGGTCATTAAGTAAATATCAGAATTGCTTAGCAGTAGCCGATGGAACTGAAGCATCGGCTGGATATTTATCTAACTTAGGGTTCAAGATTAAATTGGAGTTACCAGCCAGCAGCAACATGTCAACCTGGTGGGTTGCCAAGAGTGAACAAACATGGGAGAGAAAGGAACCTGGGTTTACATTAGGAGCGTAGTAGGTCAAGATCGTAACCTCAGTTTCCTGAAGTAGGCCTTAAAGCAGTAAATACCTACCATCGGGGTCAGCTATTTGTTTTTTGTACAAGTAAAAGTGGTAGATTTGTGGAATGCAACCAAGACGCCCCGTTGTTTTATGGGGCCGTTAGCTTGATACACAAAAGGTAAACGTGCGTCAAAGTATTTGGGATGTGAGGTGGTCAATAAATGGGTTTCCTTCAGGCAGGCAATGTAAACTCTGTCTTATGAAGTATGCTTAGTATCCCAATTTAAATACAAATAAACCCCCCTAGTGCAAAATAATGACAATCAAATACGGTGTACCCTTCCCTTATTCACAAACTTCCCCAAAACGCATATAAACACTTTAAACCCCAAAAAGTGTGATAATCTTATAAAATATGCTTAGTATCTCAAGTATAAATACAGATATAATAGGTGCTCAAAACAAAAACAAAAAACACACAAGTACCAAAATAATAAATTAGTCCTTCAAAATATCAAAGTCATTCAAAATCTCAAAATCAACCTCCAGGTGAAGACAGCCTCCAAAGCCTGTGACTGCGTTGAATTGGCGTTGCTGGTGAGAGAAGAAGATCTTAAACAGAAATCCCCACCTGTATTTAATGCCCCCGAGACCACAAACTTGCAAGTATGGCTTTAGGCTCCGCCTTTTAGCAATAGTGATCGGTGATAGGTCGGCGAACAGCTGGGGAGCTCTGGCTTTCCTGGGGAGCGCGGTTGTGACAGCAGAGAGCTGGCTATGTCGCGGGAGACCTTCAAGTGGCATGGAGCGGGAGGATCCAATGTCTCCAATTTTCACATCCAAACTAATTCAAATTTTAAGGTAAAGATGTCCTAGATCACTTGTGTGGCTTAACCTCCTTCATATCCTACAGGTGTAATTAGGAGCAGTGATCAGAAGCAGCACTTACTAAGGTAAATCACATTTTTGCTGGAGAAGTTAACAAAGGAACAGATTGGAAATTCTTGCCGATACAAGGATGTGTGATAGATCCACCCTGAATTCCAAAGCTGCACTGGGCACAATGATTGCAGGGGTACTTCCATTGTGGTGAGTAATAGACAGTGAGCCAGTTTGTAGCATTATTGTGTGTTAACTGCTTTGGAATTCTGCCTAAATAATCACATTTCTCTCAGAGTGTGATCTTTTGTGTGCAAACATAGGCAGATCATTAATGACATCTTTAGGTTTGGGGTCATTTACTAGAACACCTAAATGTTTCTTGATAAACTATTGAATCTGGGGAGTCTGCTTAGAATAGGTAATATGCTTAGATGACCCATTAAGTTAACAGTTTCCCAAAACACTTATGCCGGCCATAGAGGGTTCGAAAATCGGCCGATTTTTCGTCTGAAAGATTAATCGGCTGATATTTGCACTGTTAGTGGGTTAATTTGTTGGCCGGTTTTCACATTTTTTCCCACTTTTAGATTATTGGTCCTGTTGGAAAATTTGTGGAAAACAACTGATTTTCGCGGCAATGATGGTCAAATCGAACGAGCTTTGTTATGAAAAAAAATATGCGCATGAGCTGTGACCTGGAAGGAACAGAAGTTTTGCCTGTTATATGGGGTGAACTTTATGACTTGGTCAGCCGATTTTCGTAATCGTTGGTGGAAACGACGGTTTAACGAACGACCGATTTTTCTTTTATCAGACGAAAAAAACGCCTGGTTTTCGAGCCGTCTATGGCCTGCATTATATCCAATGCATGTTGTGAATGAAACCTGTCATAATTGCTTGTGCTCTCAACTGAACTGGCAAGCCATCAAAAACAGATTCATTTTTTGCCTGTACAAGGATGTGTGAAGGATCCACCCTGAATTATAAAGTTGCATTGGGCACAATGACTACAGGGCTACATCCGTTGTGGTGATTTTGAACTTTTGAATAAGGCTTACCCATAGGCAGGGGCGGACTGACAACTCATGGGGCCCCCGGGCAATAGGGGATCATGGGGCCCCTGTGTCCTTTCCCAAACTCAAAAAAGCCTATTTAAAAGATACCAGGGGCATCTCATGGGGCCCCCTACTGACCCCGGGCCCTCGGGCAGTGCCCGAGTTTCCAAATGGTCAGTCCGCCCCTGCCCGTAGGGAAATATCTCCTAAATTTGTGGTGTTTAGAAGATATTCACACTGCATGCAGCTGGTGACGTCACCGGCACATGCGCTCTGAAGTGATGCATACCCATGTGCCAGAAACTGTGACTCTTGTACGCATACGCAGGAGTGATGTCATCATGTCTCAGCCATTCAAAAGACTGGAGCCAGTGAAACCGGTGAGAAGGGGGGGAATGGAAACTCTCTCAGAGGTGACAACACACAGCTGGAGGACTTCGTTCTAAGGTAAGTACTTCATAATGTGCTAGTATGCGATGCATACTAGCACATTATGCCATTGCCCTGCAGGGGATTTTTTTTTTCAGAATACTCACAGTTTAATACCACTTTAACTACAGGTAAGTATAAGTGTGGCCTGGGGGAAATCCTACAGTAAATACATTTTATTATATCTTTTTGACAAGTGCAAAAAAATAGCTAGCTAGGGGCAAAGGGAAAAAAAAATAGCTATTCATCCAACCAGAGTTCTTGTGAACTGATAATTACCTGTAAAGTAAACATGTTCCACTCCTTTAGTAAATTATCCTCCGTAAGTGGTCGTTTCAACCGACATTACACAGGCATGGCCCACTGTTGTCACCATGAAGAAAGACGACCTGAGGAATGCCGTGCAGCCATTGCTGAAGTTGCTTAAATACAATAAGAGACTGCAAAAAATGCAGATCAGCAGCACTGAGATGTAACATAGGATGAAAAAAGTGATGATGATACACAGTGCTTTGCATCTATTTTATGGTCAAATCTTTGGAATGATTTTGTTGTGTTAAATAGTCTCCACTTCTGAATACAAGCTGTTACTTCTGTAATAATTAGATCAGGATTCGCCAAAATTCAAACACAAATTAGCCTCATTAGTCTGCATTTAAACATGAAAATGTTTTGTCACCTGTGTTAAAATGTTTCTATCATTAACTCAAGAGGAGCCCTGTTCCTTTGTGCCCAAGACGCAAATCTGGCATTGTTTGTATACCATTACAAGGGGGAAAGGTTGCTGGAATAGTTGGGGGTTACACAGCCTCTAACAAAGGCTGACTAGATCGCCAAATTCAGATTGAACAAATGAAATGAGGCAGAAACAACCTGCTGGGGAGTAGATCAGCTTCCCTGTCAGGGTTCTCAATACTAGGATGCCAGGAAAAGACTCTGTTACTTTATCAATACACTCAGATGTCTTTGTTTTTAGTGGAGCAGACATTACTACTTATTACTTTCATTCTTCCACTCACTGAATGTAATTGTATGGATTTACTAAATGCGTAGAGGCTGTTCACATAGCAAAGTATTGAATAAGGCGAGGATGTATTCACTTTAGGACCACAATTATGTGCTGGTAAAAATATTTTTTTATTTCTGTCGCACATGGTTGGGTATTTAAAGTGAACACAGCCTTCGCCTTATTCATTAATATTCACTTTGCAAGGTGATCATACCATTTGTTTGGTGACACAGCTCTATTCACCTAGTAAATCAACTGCAAGTGCCAAGCTGTCAGTCATGTCTAAGGGCCCATTCACATTATTGTGCGGCAACACATGTTACAAGCATTGGTGAGATGCAGTGCCACACATTCTGAATGGCACCCCAATGCACCTTGGCAACTAAAGTGCGCTGAGGTGCATACCAGAAATGGTGCTTTCTGGTGAATTAGGCAGCCCATTCAAATGAACACAACACATATAAAAGCACATCGAGTGTGCATCAATACTTTGCTACAGAATTATGGGCCCCCTATCTCTAAAACACAATTGCTCAGAATCACAGGGGTTTTGCCAAGACAGAAGTCACGTGGCAGATAATTCTTAAACATTCTGGGGTGGATTTACTAAAGGCAAGTAGATTTCTCCAGAGCTTAATAAATGAAGGGAAGCTCTGCTGTCTTCCATTGTCCAATCATGTTTATGCAAAAATGCATTTTTTTTAAATTTTCCATGCATGCAATTGGGTTTTCTTTGTAAAGTGAATCTTCAGCTTGTTTACTAAGGTCTGGAGCAAGTGTACGGTCTCCTTGCCTTTAGTAAATCCACCCTACTGTAAAGAGATAGATATGTGTTTATTATTATTTTGGACTATGTATATATTAAAATATACTGTGTATACAAATAGTTGTCAATATAAGAAATCATTTTCAGGGACCCTGCTGCTAAGCCATGGTACACATTTATGAAATGTCTAAAATATTGAAATATGTGTTATTACATTGTAAGTACTCCTTCTCAGTGCTGAAAAGTGCAAGCTACATTTTCATTGCTGAAAAATGCACATTAGCACAGTAACACCTCCAAAATCAAAGACTGCCTTTGGAAATCAGCAATATTTCACTTTTACCTCTTCAATTTTTTTTCATGGAATTGATGGAAAAAGTGGTAATTTAGATGGCCTGAACAAGCCACATATTTCTGTACATTAATATTATTATCACAGTTATTCCTGTGGTTTGGGGAAAAATCTGGGCATTTTAGCAAATCCATAGCTGAAATTAAGGATTTTGGGGTAGTTTTTAAGGGTGCATTGAGTTTTAAATGACTCCTAATTAATTTACACTTAAACCTTAAATTGGCCTTTAAATATTTATGAAATAGGTGGTCTTTGCAGATATGTGTCTTTCAATATAGTCAGATAATGGACATTGCAAACATTAAATACCTGAATAACTGTATTGCCTTCTAAATGAAACACATAGTATGTTGTGTGCACTTTTATATTTTGCAAAACAATATTCTTGATGAATAAAAGCTGGAGCAGCTATCTCATTGATAGGAAACACTTGCCATGTGTTAAAGCCAAACATTTTCTTTTCATGAAAAAAATTGATGTGATGTTACTACTTGTATATGAACATATACTGTACAAACGCGAGAATTTGTTTACATATTGTACTACATTTTACTAACCTAAAAAGCACAACAGTCTCTACATACTACAATTCAGATTCAATGTGGCTAATATATTAAGGCTATATTTAGACATGCGGCTATCATTACCTGACATCTGAAAAGCGTTCTGTGGTGGATCAATTTTCAAAGGCGTTTGACAGGCAGAGACATAAACCTTGTCACTACTTGTTTAACCCTGTAAATGCTGCACCACCATGCCCCAACTGTGTGAATTATATGCAGCCTGGACATATACACTTGAATGGGTCATATTCGGTGGGCAGTACCAGGGGCACCCTTTTTGCCGCAAAGCATCACAGCATGTACAGTATGCACCCTCATCCAGCTGCCTTTGCAGCTTAAAGGGGGGGCAATAGAAATGCATCTCAGCCACCTGTTTTTACTGCCCTCAACCACAAGTATACAAGAGCCCCAAAGGAGCTGAGAAAGCTCATATAATACATTGTGTGGATATTCACTTTAACTGTCCAATCCTGTGTAAGTAAATAGGAATTTGTTTTTCACATGATCAGCCAATCAAAATGAATATACACACCATTTTTGTGAAGATTCTAAACTTCTTTAGTAAATCACCGTCAAGGTTTCTGTACCTTTTCCTGTACAAGCTAATGAATAAAAGTGGGTTGATCACTATGGGCAGTTGCGTTATTCTTCTTTTGCTCCACTGGGTAGAAATGAGCCTTAGGCTCTATGCACATTGGGCTTAAAAAAACGCCAGTTCCCTTGACAGAAAAATGCTTATATAGAGCGTTTTTGTACACATGTAAGGTGAATTTAGAAGTGTTTAGCATTTTTTTCTGCCAGAAAGTTCCAATCAAAAAACGCAAGCCAGAAGGGTTTTTTTCCTGTCTCTAAACACTGAGCTTAAAATATGCCTCTAATCGTCCCAATGTGCACGGACACATAGGATAACATTGAGTTACTTCTACAGGAAAAACACAAAACTCCTGTAGAGAAGTAAGTTCACCTTTTGGTAAAAAATAACAAATGCACATTTGTTTGCAGGTGAAAAAAATGTGCATTTATTATTTTTTGCTGTAGGAGCCTGTAAAGCATTGCATGCAGACCATGACCATGCAGGTTTTCTGCAGATCTGTCATTATATGTGTTTGCCAGTACGGGATGTACAAGCAAGCAAATTTAGGTGTCTGTTTATGAACCAGCGATAAATGATCGCTGCTCAGTTCTCCGGCATTCTTGAGAACACAGTTCTCCTGTGAATGCCTTTTATGAAGCAGTTCTCGAAGGGAGAACGGCCTCCAAACGCTGGAGAACGGTGTACAAATGCTGGAAAACAGCTGATTTTACTATAATCTCGCAAGATTATAGTAAAAGATCAGTTTACTAAGCAGAGGTAAATTATCGCTGCTTAGTTTGCGGTCCCTCCGATTCTCCAGCTCTGGGCTGGAGAATCTGGAGGGAGAACACAGATCTCCAGTGAAGAGCTGAACAGTTCTCCACTGATCTCCTGAGTGTCATAAACTGTGAATGACCAGAGAATAGCTGAGATCCTCTGAATCGCATAATGACAGGAAGATTGAGAACTACAAGCTGACAGTCGCTGAGGCTGTCAGGACTTGTAGTTTCCCATTCACAGAATACTTTGAATGAGTCCCCAGAGCCATGGCCACTTTATTTTAAATTTGACAGCTGGGGGGGGGGGGAAGAATATGACCCGCTAGCTGTCAAACAACAACAATTTTGTTATAGTGTTTCCAGCAGGAAAAAAAATCCCAGGGCCAGTACACCCAGGCGCAGCGGTGTTTTGGCAGAAAAAACGCTTGACACATTTAGCACTTGAGCGTTAATCCATTTCCATGGCCAGAATAAAGTAATATTTTGCCCAATTAAATAAATTAATGCCCAAGTGCTGGACGCTTGTAAACGCACCTAAACACTTGTAAAAGCATTAGACACTTTGACACGCATCAGGTATTGTTTTCTGCCAAAACGCTGCTGCCAAAAGGATGAGCATTTTTAAAACATCCTATGTGCATGAGGCCTAAGGATATTGTTTAGTGTCACTTTAATGCTACCAATGCTAATGCAAAATCCTTCTAAAGTACCTGTAAATATAGAAGATTCTGATAGATAGAAGAGTAACTGCCACTAGTTACATCTCTGCTACACCACATCTAGAATGTCAGACTTTTGCTTCTTCCATAAGGTTACAAAAACAGCATGGCTGGGTATTTATATATATATATATATATATATATATATATATATATATATATATATATATATATTTTCTAAATATCAATCACCACTAAGGCTAGGTTCACACCCATGCCATTTGCATTTGAGGGCCAGTTCACACTACAAAAATGCACTCTGGGTAGGTTTTTGCTTACAGTTCACACCACAAGCAGTTCCGGTGCAGTTTTGATGCAGTTTGCTATGTTCCAGTATGGTTCTGTGCAGAAAAAAATGCAGCTTGTTCTCCTTTTTTTTCTGCACTGGAAACTGACTGCACTAGTGTGAACCAGGGCCATTGGAATACCTGGAAAACACTGTGCATGCATTTTTGATGCAGAAACAAATCACACTGAACTGCATCTAGTGTGAACTAGCCCTGATCCGTTTCTGCATTGTGTTTTGCATTTTATTTGCACATGCGTTTTTGCATCGTTTTGCATTTTTTCTTGTTGCTAGGCAGATTTATAATGCAAAATGCATCAATAACACGGCAAAAATGCACTATATGCTTTTCTGCAGCATTTCCATTGAAGTCTATAGAACTAAAAACGCAACTTTTTGCGTTTAAAAAAGTCCCTAACCCTTTCCAAAAAAATGCATCGGGTGAAAACGTGGAGATTTGAACATGTCCCATAGGAAATCATGTTAAATGGACTGTACTGCATTTCTGCAAAATGCTGCGGAAAATGCTTAGGTGTAAACCTAGGATAAGTAGCAAAACCTACTCGTTAATTGGCACACTCACCTTTTGCTTCACCACAGAAACCCACAAGATGTTCTGTTTCAGCAGTGCAGTACCAGCACAGAGACCGCTAACCAATCAGATTCCACTCCAGTCATACCAGTAAAAATATGACATGTGACTGGTTGCTATGGGTTACTGCCCTGTGCATCACCTTGTAAAGCCTGCACTTGGCAGTCCTAGCACTCCTGGCTATCTTTCTAAAGCTCTAGCTGTGGACAGCTGTGATGGTAATAAGTGAAGACACTGAGGTGTGAGGCCCAAAATTAATAATGTTTTCCAATAAAACTTACAAGCAGACACAATGTGATGTGACAGGCTATTCCAGAAGGTAACACAGTGCCAGAGAGATAATAAGCCAGTGGGAGAGATAACAGTTCAGGGTTAATTGTGGGCCAGAGCTTCATGGTGTTCTAATAGAATAAACAGGAGGCAATTCATGGATTGAATTCACTGGCTGGAAGAGAGCTGGTAGTAGCTCCCTTATCCCCTATCACATAAATTCACCTTTTTATCTGACCACAGAGTGTGTGTGAATTGCAGTATGATGGAGGAATTAACCAAATCTAGAGCAGACAGAATCTGGAGCAGCTATGCATAGTAACCAATCAGCTTCTAGCTTCAGCTTGCTCAGTTAAACGCTGAAGATGAAAGCTAGAAGCTGATTGGTTGCAATGCCTAGCTGCTCCATTTTTAGTAAATTCTCCTCAATGTATTTTTTTCTATCACAGCATCAGGTACATCTACATTGTGTATTTTTTTTAAACATCAGGTGTTTAATTTGTGTGTGTTAAATCCCACCTCAACTAATCATTTAGAGCTGGAGCACCGAGTACAAAAGAGGTTTATCTCCCTATTAGTGCAGGGCAAAGCCTATATTTTCTCTCCATTACTGTATTTCTTTGAAAGATTACAAACAGGTGATGCCTAATCCATTAACACAGCGGAACCCGCAAAGTGTACCTAATGTGTTTATGGTGAGTGACTACTGGGTGAAAGCTGGCGGAGCCTGATCCTTCCAGGCACTTAATTGGATGCCTCAATGGCCCAAAATTAAAAGCCGCCTTTTTGACACACAAATCATCTGCAGATTTATAAGGGCTTAACAGAGGTCATTCATGTCTGTCTGACTTGACAGCTTATATTGCTGATATAAAAAATTCCAAGGGAGATACATATTAACATATATATATATATATATATATATATATATATATATATATATATATATATATATATATATATATATAAATTTGCCCTAAATGTAAAATATTAAATTGCAAAAAATAAAATAGTGCAGGGATTCCTGGAAAAGGAGACACTTTACCATGGATGTTACAAGTTATTAACCTCCCACCCCAAAACCTCTCCTATAGAGTTTACAACATTTACAGAAAAATGATATTATTATTATTAGTAGTAGTAGTATTTTTATGCACAAGCTAAATATTAAAATATTACAGTGGCAGAATAAAAAAAACACAAAGATTACATTCTTGGAAGGAAAAAATGTGCAGGGAGTATTGGAGAAGGAAACATATGACTGATATATAAAAGCTATTAACCTCCCTAAGATCTCTCCTGTAGAGTATCATACATTTACAGGTAATTATGATGTTTGTTGGTTTTGTTTGTTTGTTTATTTTTACACTAGACCAAAATGTAAAATATTACAGCAGTAAAAGTAAAATTCCATAAATATTTTGATAAGGTGCAGGGAGTATTTGATAAGTAGCAATTTTATTAAAATGTTACTATGAGCTATTAACCTCTTTCATCAATCCCTCCGCTACAGAGTTTTTACATTTACAGGTAATTAGTAATGTCATGTTTTGCTTTGTGTTTTGTTTTTTGTTTTTTTGCACTAGACCAAAATTTGAAATATTCAAGTGGCAGAAAAAAAAATCCAAATATTTTAATCTGGGAAGGGGGAAAAAGTGCAGGGAGCATTGTAGAAGGAGCCACTTTATTATGAATGTTACTAAGTGAGCTATTAACCTCCCTCCCCAAGCCCTCTCCTATAGAGTTTCATACATTTACAGGTAATTAGTGATGTCCTTAGTTGAAGTGTTTGGCAGAAAGGGGACCACAAACCACTAATCGTTTTCTTGTGCATTATTCAGTCTCGGCTGTTTTTACAGGGAGCCCAGTAACAACTGATGTAACCATTGCCTGGTGAATACACTTTACCATTTTATACTCACACTTGTAAGAGAAGGTGGTGGTGTTGGGGATGGAGGGCTGGGGGGTGGGATTGTGTCTACTGTCCCCAGCTGCACTAGGACAAGGCTGGTCTCAACCTGTAGGACTGCCTTTTCTTCTGCTTTGGCTAAATCAATCTGTTGACAGCTAACTCATTTTCCCCCTGAAAACTTATTAGCTATTCAGCTTCACAAAACATTCTGAGCCCCCTTTTGTCCAGAAGAGGACTCCAAACCCCATCATTAGCGCTTATTACCCTGAGCAGTTTGACAGCCTCATAGACTGCTTACAAGACGTCCCATTCATGTCTGCCCAGATCTGCTCCAGCTCTGAAAAGAAACGGAAATATTCCACCATGTTTCGAGCTGAATAGAGGGGGAAAGGGGGTGTAAGGTGGTCTGTGTGTGTGTGTGTGTGTGTGTGTAGGGGGGGGGGGGGTTACTCTCCCTCCATTCTCCTCCACATTACTTTTGACACAATATTTTTTTCTTTTTGTTAAAAAAAGACATACACATGCACACTCACACAATGCATACTTTGACAACGTTTCGGCAATTTGCTGCACTGTTTACGGTCAACAGCAATATTCCTGCTGAAACACAAGAGGGGACAATGCAGCAGTGACACCAAAAAAGCCTGATGTCTGTTGTCAGTAACAGAAAAGGAATTAGAATTAAATGTAACAGATTGCTTAACAAGTGAAAATAGAAATGGGTTTAGGTGTTCTTTGTCACTGATTACAAAAAGTGGGGTCATTTAGGAATATTAAAAAAAAGAGCAAAAGTGGAGCTGATAAATAAAACCAAGGATGTCCGCAACAAAAATCATTCAAACATTCTTGTTTCTATGAACAACACAGCATCATTTATGATCAAGGTTTCTTTGGCTCCTGTCTCATAAGTCAATCCTATGGAAAGCATGCATGTATTGTTATCTTTCTGTCTGACACCTGGATCATGTATTATTGTACATCTTTCTGTTTGACATTTGGATTGACACGTATTTCAATTGGCTATGAATGTGACCAAATGCTATATATTTAATACTCCCAAGCTTGCTGGAGACCCCACCTGCAAAAAAAACCCCTCATATTTTTAATAATGAAAATATGATGCAAGAATGTAGCTATTGCAGATTCCTCGCTCCTGAATGATATATATTTTCTTTGTCTTTCCGTCTGACTAAGCATCCTTCCATCCAGAAACACATTGGTGGGAGCACGCTGCTGATTAGCACGCTGTTATAACAACAACAATATGGGCAAATGGGAGGCTTCCAGTCTAATAAATGCACTGAAATAAACAAGTTTGTTAATTAATTGAGAGGTAAAAAAATAGGATGAATCTGCAATCAAATCATAAAAAAGGCATAAATAAAAAAAAAAAGATGGAAGGGATTTAGGAAAAGAAATGCAAGGGATCTAAATATGTTTTAATGTACTGCATGCGGCCAGCTCTGGTAAAGCACAATACTAATGTAATACTAATAGCAAGACAACACTTATTAAATAACACACATGTTTAAATATTACCATAAGATATACATTATAAATGTACATATGCATATATATATATAGTAAATACTACATATATATATATATATATATATATATATATATATATATATATCAAAATATAATATATTAGTAATATTTAGACTTGTGTGTCGGTTAATAAGTGCTGTTTTTGTTATCAGCATTACATGTGACTATAATAACAACAATACGCCCATATACATTATAATATATACATATATATATAACATTTAAAAAAATATATATATATATATATACACACACACACACATATATATGTGTGTGTATATGTGTGTGTGTATATATATATATTTATTAGTAATAATTATATCCGTGTGTTATTTAATTTGTGTTTTGTTATTAGTATTACATAGTAATATAATAATGATAATAATAACAATAACAATGTCTAGCTTCATTGTCGAAATGTTAAAAATGTGTCTAGAATATCTAAACAAAAATTAAATGGATACAATTTATGAAAATAATATACTTGTAGTTATTAATTCTATTTTAAAAAAAAATATTTCTTGGGAAAATAAATTCAAATTTCGGTTAGCAATCAAATAAGTTCCTAAAATTGAGCAGGAATAGGGAAGACTAGTGAACTTTATAAAATTATATTTTATGTTGCTCATTTCCAAGTATGTTCTTTGCTGACAAAATCAGGAACGCATACATGAAAGGACAGATATCCAGACAGTAATAGAATCTCACATCTGGCACAATGAAATATCACCATACTCTCTGCTCTTTACAGGCAAAGGTTTGACATGAGTAAAAATAGGCTCTGCTGTTGAACTTGCAATAGAGAGATGGCTGACTGGAAATGTAAAGAACTGACAGGATAAAATGCTCGTTATGTAAAAAACGGATGCTCACCACATTATTTTATTTTTACTTCTTCATTGGATCCATAGATTTGGCGCACATGCGTCTACAAGTCACCTGCGCACATACAGACAAGCAAAGGAGGTCTAACATTGGCAATCCCTTAAATAAGTCATTATATAATATATAAAAACAAACTTTAAAGTAAAGCAAAAAATAATTAAACAGCGTCTTTTTTTTCAACATGAAATACCCACAGATGTATAGGGCAGGTGCTCAGACGATTGGCAACTTGGCATTTGAGGCATCGTAGAAAGTCCCCAAAAATAAAGGTGACAAGCCTTACAGTCTTCTACAGTTTTTTTTAAGCAATCAATAGAATAGGGAAGGTGACATTACGATCAAACGCTCCCTGGTCTGGTGACAACCTCGGTGTGACCCTGTGGCCACGGCTGTTCTGCTTAGTCAGGCACTGTTCTGAGTTTGATCTCCTTTTTGCTGCGTTAAGTATGCCCCATAGGTCAGATGTCACATTCACTGTCGCTGGATGTGATGGAAATGGCAGAGGTGGCCGCTTTGCTGGACAGGCTAGCTGCAGGACTGGAGGCTGAGCCCAACGGTTCCCCTCGATCATCTGGGCCCAATGAGCGTCCAGATCCCTGGGACAAGACCTGCTGCTGCAGCCTGACAAAACACAACAGGAGAGGACAGTCAGCATAAGCCACACCACAGATCACAAACCACAACATTCTCACACGCTGCTGGCTTGGAGGTTACATGCAGCCAGGAGAGCTGGAGATCTGGCTGATGGACAACCTTGACATCCGGCCCCAGGCACTGCAATTCACATTACAGGCAAAGTACCTACATTGCATCAACGACTTTTCTACAGGGCTTAACGTTGGAAAAGGTTCAAGCTGCATCATTGAATCAATGGGAGTCTGAGAATACAGAAATATCTCACTGGGGAATGCTCTGTACAGTGAAGGCACAAGATTAAAGAACATGGCCTTGCCTGTCTCTCACTGCCAAGTGGATGCTGAGTGTCTTACATATCTGAGATACCTCAGGGTTCATTAAAAAATCATTAGGAAACCAGCGAAAGGTTCTGGAGAATTGGGTGGAATGTGATGTCTGGACACAGTGCTGTGTGTGTCACAAGGCATCTATAGTTATGTCATTGTTTCTAAGATCTGAATTCACTGGCAGAACAGGAATGTATAACAAACATACAATTTACATCTATCTATCTATCTATCTATCTATCTATCTATCTATCTATCTATCTATCTATCTATCTATCTATCTATCTATCTATCTATCTATCTATCTATCTATCTATCTATCTATCTATCTATCTATCTATCTATCTATCTATCTATCTATCTATCTATCTATCTGTCTATCTATCTCTATCTATCTATCTATCTATTTATTTTGTGTCTATTATTTACGTTGTTTCATCAATCAGCCCCTTCCCTGGTTATCTTTAGTCGTTTAAACACATCAAAGAAAAATTGTAAAGTAAAAAAACAGAAAGTCAAAAAAAAAAACATCTGTTTAGAAACACAGTTCTCGAAATTTTTAAATTATCTACATAAGTAGAAGCAATGTTTTACTGCCTGGATCTATGGCTAGTTTTATTATCATAAATAACACCCCATATTCTCATTGATCTGTGCTGCACATTTATTTCATTATCTGTCAGCTAATGTATTAATATTTGGTTTGTGCTATCTATCTATTTATCTATTAGTCAATTGATCTATTTATTATCTATCTATCTATCTATCTATCTATCTATCTATCTATCTATCTATCTATCTATCTATCTATTTTATTTTGCCCTTTTTCTTTCTTTCTTTCTTTCTTTCTTTCTTTCTTTCTTTCTTTCTTTCTTTATCTGTGCTGTACATTTACTTCATTATCTGTCAGCTAATTTGTTAATTATTGGTTCATGTTATCTATTTTTATCTGTGTATCAGTCAATTGGCCTGTCTATCTATCTATCTATCTATCTATCTATCTATCTATCTATCTATCTATCTCTTTACCTGTCTTTCTATCTGTCATCTATATATCTATGTCTATCTACTTATTTATCTATCAGCTTATTTTATTTTGCCCTTTTTCTTTCTTTTTTCTTTCTTTTTTTTATTTTCTTTCTTTCTTTCTTTCTTTTTTCTTTATTTCTTTCTTTCTTTTCTCTCACTTTCTTTCCTCTATAAATATAACTTACCCATTGAAATTATTTTTAATTAATTATGAAAATAATAAAGATTTGAAATATAGTCCCTCTTTGAAACGTTTTAATCTTAACCAATGTAATTCCTCCATCCAATTTCTGTATTATAAATGTATCCCTAGATGTTAAATCCCCCTGTCCTGCACTAGGGAATTATTTTCTTCTCTGATCTTCTTAAAAAGCTTAATGATTACAATGAAAATCTTTTAAAAAGTGTCTGGAGGAATTCAGCTCTTTACACTCGCATTTCATGACTGTAAAACAACGTCTTATGAAATCTTTTTTTATTATTTGAAGACGTGGTCAAATTGACTTTTAAACGACTATTGTGTATATGTTTTCTATATGTGTAATATGACTTAGTTGAAACAAGAATTTAGTAAGTAAAAACAAACAAAAAGCAGTGATTTTTAGAAACTATTAATGCTGAGATTCGGGTATATGGAATTGGGATATGTTGTGGTATGTGATAAACTAATAATGTCGTAACAATTAATTGGCTGATAGCAAATTTTTTTCTCTGTTGGTCATACCTGTTCTTGGCTGCTGCTGCTCGGTCCCTTTGCCTTCGGTTTTTGAACCAATTCCCTACTTGTGTTGGGGTAAGTCCAGTGGCCTGGGCGAGTTCTCTTTTTTTACTGGGGTTGGGGTAAGGGTCTTGTAGGTACCATTCCCTAAGCAAGTGCCGTGTTCTTTCCTTAAAGCAATGTGTTTTCTGCTCTCCGTCCCAAATAGTTCTGGGCAATGGGAACTTCTTCCTCACCCTGTACTTGTCTACCGGCCCTAAGGGTCTCCCCCGGAGCTTCTCTGCCTCCTGGTAATGAGCCTCCAACCACAGAGCCTGGAGCTTGGTGTGCGACTCCTTGGTGAATTTGTGGTTCTCCAATATGTGGTAGAGGTCTCTGAAGTTGCCTGTGTGAAAAGCCACGATCGCCCTGGCGCGGAGCACACAGACTCATTTTTATTGAGGGCCTCGCAGGCTGCTGGGGCCACCGGCAAAGACCAGAGAAAGCGACCCAAGCGTTCAATGTCCCCGCTCTCCTCCAGGGTCTCGCACACCCCAGCGACCTGCTGGGGGCTAAAGTTCAGGATGGGCAACTGGAACATTGACGAGGCTTATCGTTTGTTGCCGCGTGTCGGCAGAGTCCAGTCCAGGGACCGCAACGCGTCCCGCCGAGTCCAGTCCAGGGACGGCTACACAAGGCACGCGCGGCGGCGGCGGCGGCGGCGGCGGCAGCCTTCTTGGGAGACGGTCTCTTCTCCTTCTTGCACTTGCTAACTCTAAGAGCCCGAGCTAAGGTATCACAGCCGATCTGCTGTTAAAGGGAAGAAGCTGCCCTGAGCCAACAAACGATTTTCTATTGGACCTGGCAGATTGGCTGCTGGGTTGCCATGGCTCCTTGTCAATCAGTGTCAGCCTTTGCCAATCAAAGGCAAGCAACGGGGAGCTGTTTTCAGCACCTCCCAGGGCTCGACAGCGCCCAGCCTTCTGCTTTGCCAAGCTCACCGTCCCAATAGTCGGGCAATGCACATCCATGCCTGGATCATTGCTGCGACCCATGCATGGCACAGAAATCACATCAGACAAAACACCTCAAGCATTTCCCATCTCAGAGAGCAACTGGCATCCAATTAGAGAAGGTGACTGTGCGGATGAAGGATCCACTGCACTGCTGCATAGACAAGCCAGGCTAGCCTCCTCTGTGCTGTCCATGTGATCAAAAATGACGACAAGGAAGCTTTGCGGCAATTCTAGTTCACCTTCCTACAAAGTGTCATCTTCCTGGCATGGTGCACACTCCAGCCTTCCCCTGCACTGACATTCAGAGCAAACCTACAAACCCTCTCTGCCCCTCCATCCATCCATCCATCCATCCATCCATCCATCCATATTGTGTTCACCTCTCTCTCTGTCTCCAGCTGGGTTGTATCAGAACAGCTCCATTCAAACTTCCCATTGCATCCTGTCTGCTCCTGCACACTTGTTGTCGAGCCATGTTCAATATTATCACTTTAATGTTTTATTTAGAAAAAAAAATGGTGCTTTTCGGCTGAATGGAGCTGAGAATAGCCACAGAGAGTGAGAAGTCATTTGTAGGTCAGCATACATAAACGTTGAGTGGCTGGAGGGGGAGAAACAGATCCGAACCTTTAACCCTTTAGCAAACATAAGGGGGGGGGGGTCTTTGAATACCCTTCTTGCTCATCAAGGGTTAATAAAATAAAGAAAAATGGTAAGCCAGATCTGCCTCATAAAAGTACTTAGAGACACAGGACCTTTAAAAAAACCCTTTAGCAAGCCTAAGGAGGGGTGCTAGAACACTCCTCTTGCTCATCAAGGGTTAAAACACAGGGATATGAGCTATATCTATCTAATCAACTGTGATTGGAGAAACAGATCAGAACCTTTAACCCTGTAGCAAGCACAAGTCATTGAATGCCCCTTTCTCATCAAGGGTTAATAATAAAAAAAAATGATTATCCATATCTGCCTTAATAAAAGTAATTCAAGACACAGATCTGAGCGTTTAAAAACCCTTTAGCAATCACGATGGGTGGTACTTGGATATACCGATTGTTTATCAAGGGTTAAAAATATAGAAGGCAGATTAGCCATACCTATCTCATGAACAGTCATTGGAGAAACAGATCAGAACATTTAACCCTTTAGCATTCACAAGTCTTTGAATGCCCCCATTGCCCATCCAGGGTTAAAAAAGAAGAGAGATTAAGCAGAACTAAAATGATGAGTGAGCTATTGGCTCCAATGGGGACAATGAAGGTGACGTGGCTTCTTTAAGGGTTTTTTTTAATGTCTTCTGCCCTTTTCGAAGCAAGAGAAGATGTATGTCAAAAAGGGTCAGTGGCCTCCATAGCTGGACCGGGGACTTCCAGACAAAGATTCCAGCATCTCTCTCCACATACAAAGGAGAGGCAGGGCTGGAAGCCTATTATTTGCATCCTATCTGCATGATCTGATTCTTGCTATTTCTAGTGCAGCATGTCACGAATATTCTGTATTTCTGCTTCTCAGATCAGATTTTTTTTAAAGCAAACAATTGCTGATGCCACAGAAGATGAGAAGGGCAGACCCCCCCCCCCCCCCCCCCCCCCCCCCCCCCCCCCAAACTCTGAAGGAAAGCAGCAATCGCAAGGAGATAGGCAAGCGACTTTTATTTAGTATCAAGAACAATTTGTCTTTTGCTCGTGAAGATTTGGTAAATAAGAAGGCAGATAGATACCGCAGATGGTTGGAGGTGTCGGGTCGGATTAGGATACGCCTCGGTACAGTGCTAAGCTCATTCTGACGGAAAAGCCTGATATTATTTTCACAGATCCACGCAGTTCACTTGAAAAAAACCCTCCGAGCCATTTACATCATTTATGGGAGGCTCACAGCTAGCGCTAGGAAAATGCTTTCAATATTGCTCACTTTCATAAAATCAGACAGCAAGGCCACAAGATCCCTATACAAATCACGGGGGTGTCGCAGGGCTGCTCAGAAAATGTCGCAAAGGGGGTACAGGGGAGCCCCGACATCGGAGCACAGCAACAGATCTGATCACAGTCGGACGTTTTCTGGAAGGATTTGGGGACAATAAAACATTGCATCACCTGTGTGTTGTCAGCTGCTAGATGTGATGTACATATACATAAAAATAGCTAAAGATGGAGAGGTATAAGAGAAAGTATAGATATTTAACAGACAACATTAAAAAAGATAGCTGCAAATATAGATAGATAAAAGATAAACAGAGACATATAAAAATGTGTGTAAAAGGAGAGAGAGACAGAAATGCAGATTGATATATAAAAATGATAGAAGTAAATATAGATAGATGAAAAAATATATAGAGCGATAAAATCTAGCTGTAAATATCTATAGATAAAAAATATAAACAGGGATATTTAGAAAATGTGTGTAAAAGGAGAAAGAGGGAGAGAGACAGAGAGGGAGAGAGGGGTGTATATGCAGATTAATACATAAAGATGATAGAAGTAACTATGGATAGATAAATGGAAGATACATACAGCAATAAAAGATAGTTGTAAATACAGATAGAAAGAAAGATAGAGAGAGTGTGAGAGGAGAGAGAGAGAGGAGTACCAATATGAAGACAATAGATAGATAGATAGATAGATAGATAGATAGATAGATAGATAGATAGACAGACAGACAGACAGACAGACAGACAGACAGACAGACAGACAAATAAATAGGTAAATACATTGATAAAATATAGATGTAAATATAAATATAGATATATTACATGGATGACAGGAAGAGAAATGCAGATAGATAGATAGATATATCGATAAGAGATAAAAAGAAAGAGATGCATAGATACAGATAGAGATAGATAGATAGATAGATAGATAGATAGATAGATAGATAGATAGACAAATATGTAAAGATATTGATAAAAGATAGTTGTAAATATAAGTATAGATAGATTACATGGATGACAAGGAGAGCGATGCAGATAGATAGATAGATAGATAGATAGATAGAAAAAGATAGATACAGTACATGTAAATATGAATATTTAGAGATGATATAGAGAGGGATAGCTAGACAAATATACAAATATATTGATAAGAGATTGAAGGAAAGATATGAATACAGATAGATAGATAAACTGAGGGATAGATACGTGCAAATCTAAAATATAGAGATTATATAGAGAGAGAGATAGACAAATAGACAAATATATTGATAAGAGATATAAGGAAAGAGATGAATATAGATAGATAGATAGATAGATAGATAGATAGATAGGTGCAAATCTGAATATATATAGATATGATAAATAGAGTGATAGATGAATATAGATAAATATATTGATAAGAGATAGTAAGAGATTAATAGAGACAGATAGATATATTGATAAAGAAGATAAAGGATAGACAGATTCACACGCACACGCACACACACACACACACACACACTATATATATATATATATATATATATATATATATATATATATATAAAATGATCGAATCAAAGTCGCATAGCACAATTTATTGATACATTGGCTGCAACACTGATCTGTGAGTAATATTTGCAGATGTTTGTTGCTGTTTTGCTCCATGTCGCTTCCATGCTTCCATATACTATGGGGACAGTGGTCAGGAAAGCCTGGACCACACAATCCATGCTCTGTAATGCTGGTAGAGGGGGCTGCGCTGCCTTTGCATTCTGCTGAGTCCAGTAATGTAAGCACAGATCGGTATATGCCCCACTTCTCCATGTTTGCATAATTGTGCTAATTAAACCGCTATGTGACTTCCAAGCGGAAATGTTTGACTACCCGTACAACGAGATGTAGATCTCCCGACCACATGCTATTATGCTTTTCATTTTGAAACATAGGAATGTGGCAACAAATTGCCCTTTAGGTATAAGCAAGGCACATGGCTCCATAAGGAGCACAGACTGCCAATGTGACATATATTAATATTTGATCTGAGAAGAAACAAAGTATATATGGCCTCCTTAGGATACTGCAAAGAATAAACACAGGTCATCCTCCTGGTGTGGATATACTCTATGCCATAAACACTGTTTAGGATAGTAGTAATCATAATCATCATAAAACTATTATTATTGTTAATCATCATAATAGTGTGTCCTAGGTTTTAGTTAAGGATATATGAAACAAGCTTCACACAGAGGTTACAGATCTGCAGAGGGCTCTGTAGGGCACATTGGCCATAATAAGAAATGTAAGTCAGTAGCAATACAAGACAAGTCTGCATCTCAGAGTCCCCAGTGCTGCTGGAAGCCAACACAACCCAGTCTGCTGCCTCCTTCATACAACAGCACAGCATTACTTATTGATACCTGCTCATAGTCTGCAGACACTGCAATATAGGGCACAGAGGATGGACACAACAACACACAATTCCTTGTAGCAGGAGGACCCATTTAATTTGTTCTACTGTCTTCTATAATGCTGCAGGTTTAGATTGAATAAATACTTCTTTTATCAAACATTTTCAAGCAGTCATCTTTAAGTGTATTGCCTATCCATCTGTACAGAGAAAGGTACAAAGTTGACAAAAACTAACTCACAAACTGACATAATGTAAAGCAAAATATTTCTCCTTGCTTTTCCTTAATATGCCAAGCGGAGTTGTATTTGCTGCACACAGTCTTTGTATCCATTTACAAACAGATGATGTGATTTGCGTATCAGTGTTTTTTTTTTTCTTTTTTTAAGTAAAGAACCCTCTATATAACTAAGGTGACCCATATTTTATATGAAGCAGGCACGGTCATGGGCGTTCTAACAATCACATATAAGACCGACCAGTTTTGAAAACAGAGAGATGTAAAAGAAATCCACAAACGAGATCTGCCATAAGTCATGTCATAGTTCTATAGATATGCACAGAAGGAAATCCATAGTTATCTGTTAATTAGGTCTAACTGCAAGTACCAGCATGCTTTAGTAAAGACGTGTACCCCTATAATCTAAATCACAGCAGACCCCAAAACAGCAACTGAATACATTGCTAACAGACAACCGGAGAGGCTTAGCAGCAACTTCCATATGATATATTGTGCAAGAAATACCAGAAATGTCAATTTATATAACCATTTTCCACTACTGCCCTGATAGTTCTATTATAACTCCTTTTATTATCATATTGTTTGCTTTGCTAACAATGCCAGGACCTAGCTGTCTGTTCTGGGAAATAAGAACAACAAGGTTTTTCCTTTCCTTGTTATAAAATAGTACTGCGATGTGTAAAATGTCCTTTGAAGCTGGTTTATTACCTAAGAGCTGATTACCGCGTATTAATCATTCAATATAACCCTTTGAGCGCATCCCCAGGAATTATTTATCCACTAAAATGCAGTGAAAGAAAAACGCCTGGCATTTTTTTCATAATGGTGCTTTTTTTGGCCATAGGGTGGCCAAAAGTAAACAAAATATTTTACCGTGGAAATAAATACCCGCAGATGCTTTGTTATGACAGGGGGGTATACACTTATTCTATTTTACTACAAAAACAAAAAAATGCAGAAGACAAAGAGGCATGCATATCCTTCATATCTCCTTACAAAGTGCCTTCTAGTAAAATAAAAGCCTTTCCTTTTCTACCACTTGTATTGAGTTATATCAGTGCAAGATATGAAGGTTGATGTACTAAGTGCAACTAGTCTGTTCAGTTTGCAAAGGGAATTTGCTCCAGAATATAGTTACATAGTTAGTCTGGCTGAAAAAAGACAAATGTCCATAGAGTTCAACCATAAAAAAAAAGTTATAATCCTATACCCACATCCAGAGGAAGGCAAAAAAACCCAGCAAAGCATGATCCAATTTGCTCCTGCAGAGGAAAAAATTCCTTACTGATCTCCAGAGAGGCAATCAAATATTCCCTGGATCAACTTTACCTATAAATGTTAGTATCCCGTTATATTCTGTGTATAATAGTGTATAACAGTGTGTGAGCTGAAGCTCTACTGACATCCATCATCCACTCAGGTGTTTTTTGTATATTTTCCTTGCACGTGATTGGGTATTCCTGCAAAGTGAAACTTCACTACATTCACTAAGCTCTAGGGAAAATTCCCTGGCAAAGTACAACTTTCTTTGCAAAGAGAACAGTCTATTGGCTGTTAGTGAAGTGATTCCATCCATGGAATGCTCTTTTTCTGTGGTGTAGGGCTATGTGGAAGATGGATAAATGTGCTATAGCTGGACTGTTGGCACTTAGCAGTGAATAGCTGGCTGTAAGGATGTGAAGGAAGCATATTTCATAGTTTTAAGTGAGGTATAGACCAGTTCTACTGAGCAAAGGTATGTGAATACCCCCTTGTTTTAGCTACGAGATCTACATGGTCCCTTTTGATCCACCTCACCATAAACCTCATAGTCTTCATACTAATCAACATCAAGCCATGGTTCCATATTTTATAGGCTTGAGCTGTTGTATGCAAGCAGGGTGGTTGTATATTTTGCTGCACCTTCAGTATGCACTAACAATTCCAGAAGCACAATTACCTTCAGATCATTGTGAAATGGCTTTGCTCTTTGTTCTTCAAATAACAGTAAGGGAAGTTGTTTATTTGGTTTTGAAAGTTCCAAATATTCATTTCAATGCCCACTGCAATACAGCAGTGGAGGTTTAGTAGTGCTCTGATACCTGTATGTTCCTATGTTCCTATTACTTAATGCTATTAAAACTGGAAAATAGAGCGTTGTGTTGTATACCTCCTGATGTCCTTGTTCATGTTTTCAATAAATGTTTAATAATTTTAAATAAGACGAATATTGTGTCTGGAGGTCTCTCCGCAACATTAAAGTGCACCTGTTCCCAGACTATGGTGTCCGTTTATGAACCAGCGGTAATAGATCGCTGCTCAGTTCTCCGGCATTCTCGGAGAACACAGTTCTCCTGTGAATGCAGTTTATGAAGCAGTTCTCCGAACGAAGGGAGAACGATCTCCAAACGCTGGAGAAAGGTCTACAAACTCTGGAAAATGGCTGATTTTACTATAATCTCACGTGATTACAGTAAAAGATCAGTTTACTAAGCAGAGGTAAATTATCTCTGCTTAGTTTTCGGTCCTTCCGATTCTCCAGCTCTGGGCTGGAGAATCTGGAGGGAGAACACAGATCTCCAGAGAAGGGCTGAACATATTCTCCTGGGTGTTATAAAACTGTGAATGACCAGAGAATATCTGTGATCCTCTGAATCTCTGCTATTCTGTGTGTCATAAACGGACACCTATGTCCGTTATGAACCAGCGGTAAATGATCACTGCTCAGTTCTCCTGAATTCTCGGAGAACACAGTTCTCCTGTGAATGCCTTTTATGAAGCAGTGTAGATCAGTTCTCCAAGCGAAGGGAGAACGGTCTACAAACGCTGGAAAATGGCTGCTTTTACTATAATCTCACGAGATTACTGTAAAAGATCAGTTTACTAAACAGAGGAAAAATTATCGCTGCTTAGTTTTTGCGGTCCCTCTGATTCTCCAGGTCTGGGCTGGAGAATCTGGAGGGAGAACACAGATCTCCAGTGAAGGGCTGAACATGTTCTCTGCTGATCTCCTGAGTGTCATAAACTGTGAATGACCAGAGAATAGCTGCGATCCTCTGAATCGCAGCTATTCTCTGTGTCATAAACGGACACCTATGGACATTAAGGACCCCTATACATTTGTGTGATGTGTTAATACATAGATGGAGATTTTACAAAAACTGGAGAACTCCAAATCTGGTGCAACTGTGTATGGTAGCCAATGAACTTCTAACTTCAGCTTGTTCAGTTAAGCTTTGATAGTAAAACCTGGAAGTTGATTGGTTTCTATGCAAAGCTGCACCAGATTTTGCACTTTACAGTTTTAGTAAATCCTCCCCCCCCCCTAGTGTGTTAATGTGTGTTGCATAAAATTGACATAACACAATGCACTTTGACATGTTGCAGTGTGTTGCAATGCATGTGTGTTGTCCTGCTGCAATGAGGTGCTAATCAAAATTCATTACCATGCACATTAAAGCAAGTGTTCCTGCAATGTATCTATTTAAACAACTCCCTATTTTCACATTCTTAGCAAGCAGTAAAAAAGCTTTAAAATAAGCCCCATTGACCTCCATAGATGGAGTTTCCAGAATGCATTCCAAACACAGTGGGTGTGTGATCTGTAGCAGTGTCAATGTATTCCTAATGACACCCCAAATGCAGATCACAAATGCAGTGCATTTTCCTGCATCAGAACGCATGCTCCATGCGCTCCAATTAAAGTGCATTTTTAAAAGTTGTGTATGCACTACATTTGGTGCAATCTAGTGCGATTCAAATGAACGGGCAAGAGAACTGCGCATGAAACGCACAGGAATGCGGGGTGTGTTCCTGTGCAATTCCATTGTGAACCAGCACTCAGAGAAGAGGGGAGGAACAGCCATTTCAATGCCTCTGTTAAAGTGATTGTAAAGTCTGAAATTGTATTTTTTAGAATAACAAATACGTTTATACCAGGGGCGGAATGACAACTCATGGGGCCCCCCGGGCAATAGGGGATCATGGGGCCCCTGTGTCTTTGCCCAAACTCAGAAAAACCTATGAAAAAGGTACCAGGGGCATCTTATGGGGCTCCCTACTGACCCCGGGCCCTCGGGCAGTGCCCGAGTTTCCAAATGGTCAGACCGCCCCTGGTTTATACTTTCCTACTCCGTGTAAAGGAACTGCACACAGCAGCCCTAAACCTCCTCTTCTCCGGTCCCCCACGATACTCCTGGCTCCTCCTCCTTCTTGGTGTGCCACCATAGGAAGCCGGCTCCTATAGTGCCACATCTGCTCGATCCAGAGCCCCAGTGTCTGTGTCAATTGACACAGACAGTGAGGCTCGGCCCCACCCCTATTCCTCGTTACAGGTTTCAACTGATAGCAGCCTGGCTCCTACTGCTCTCTGCCAAGCCTGTGAGAGCGGGAAGAGAAATTGTAAGAGAAGAGGAGAGAGCAGCTGCAGATTGGCACGGCGCTGGATCAGCTGATAAACATTTTTTACCTTATTGCAAGGAATGTATTGAGATAAAAAATGTTTAGGCTTTAGAACCACTTTAAAGTGGTTGTAAACCCTTGCATGTACCCAGTGAAGTGACTGGCCTCAGGTGAAGAACAGAGATGAAACAAATCCTCCTATATAAGTTGTACCTGTTTATTTGTAGCCGGCGGTCCCCAACATCCATTTAAAAGTACAAAATTTACACAGGATCACTCAGCTTTGAAAAGCAGAGGGTGGGGAGCTTAAATTTCATCAGTGAAGAGAGCTATGAGAGCTGATTGGAGGAATAGGACATGCCCCCTTCACACAGCACACAGGAATAGAATTGAGGCTGTCAATCATAGGCTGTGCCCTCCCTAGTCACCATTTTTCTCTTGGTGTCAGAAAAACTTGTCAAAAGTGACTCATGCTTATAGCAGAGGAACCAGGCAGCAGACAGGAATGACACTTAGGTGTCTGTTTATAAAGCTGAGGTCAACAGTGATCCTGAGGATCGCTGCGGATTTCAGTACATTAGTGGTTTATGAAGCAGAGAAGATCAGCAGAGAACATGTTCTCTGCTGATCTTCTCTGCACACAGAGAATCTGCAATCGACAGACACAGAAATGGCTAGTTTATGAAGGAGCGATGTCAGCCCTTCACTGGCGATCTGTGTGAAAATTCTCCCTCCAAGATTCTCCAGCCCAGAGGTGGAGAATCAGGGAGAGAAGGGAGAATCGCTGGAGTTCTGAGGAGGTAGGAGGAAGTTTTTGGACATTATTTTTGTGTACGTGTGTACAGAGGAGAGCCGCCACCACAGCAGAGGTAAGTTACCACTGCTTAATAAACTGACAGCTGTGTATTTTTCTTATCTCTAGTTACTGTAATCTCGCTGTATCTCATGAGATTACAGTAACACCAGCCGTTTTGCAGAGTTCAAAGCTTTTGTAGATCACTTCTTTCCTCATCAGAAGAAGCGATCTATGGTGTCCGTTTGTGAACCAGAGGTAATAGATCGCTGCTCAGTTCTCCGGCATTCTCGGAGAACAAAGTTCTCCTGTGAATGCAGTTTATGAAGCAGTTCTCTCCGAACGAAGGGAGAACGGCTTCCAAACGCTGGATAACGGTCTACAAACTCTGAAAAACGGCTCATTTTACTATAATCTCTCCAGATTATAGTAAAAGACCAGTTTACTAAGCAGAGGTAAATTATCTCTGCTTAGTTTTCGGTCCCTCTGATTCTCCAGCTCTGGGCTGGAGAATCTGGACGGAGAACACAGATCTCCAGAGAAGGGCTGACAGGATCTCCTAAGTGTTATAAACTGTGAATGACCAGAGAATAGCTGAGATCTGTTGAATCGCAGCTATTCTCTGTGTCATAAAAGGACACCTATATCGCTTCATAAACAGGCACTCAGAGGAGAGCTGTTTCCTCTGAGACTGCCAGAGAACATTGCAGCGGTCATTTACCACTGCTTGATAAACATGCACTACACTGTAGAATGATATTCTTTGTTCACATTTCATGTCTGTGGTTTACAACCACTTTAAGAAATGTAAGGGTAAATGTTTTCACACGGTCTGCAGTTACAGAGGTCAGTCAGGGCTTGTTTTTAAAATTCTTTTACTGCTTGTTAATATTATGTAAATACTTTAATGTCCATAGTGTGAGCACAGGTGCCCTTTAAAGGTGCTCTGATATGTTGAATATATAATCTTAGTTATTACATTTTATCTGACAGTGTCAGTGCGATCAAGGAGACCTTGTAGAAAAAATATACTTATATTGATGTTTTTATTGTTGATGTTTTTATATATACCTCACTGAACAAAGAATCAAACAAGAAAAGCTAAATCAGTGTAACCTTACAGCAGCTCACTGCTGCCATCTGCGACTCCTTCACTTTCTGTTCTCAGCACCCTCCTTTTCACCCTGTGATTGTGCTACATTGTATAATAACAACAGCAAGTCTAGCTTTATATAAGCCTAGCAATTGACAGGAGTCGGGTGCTGTGTGAATAAACACGAAATGGGCAATAATTCATAAAAAAAATGCATATCTTAACAGAATAAGTATATTGTTATTTTTATTTAACACGGAATTCCAGCCTAAGACCCCGGTCACACTGGATGCGAATAGGAATGCGATTTGCATGCCATGCGACTTGCAAGTCGCATGCCAAATAGCAGCCTACAGTCTGCAATTAGAGCGGTCATATCGGTGCGGTTCTGACTTGGTCGGAGACGCACCGATTTCTAAAGTAGTACATGCACTATTTTTGGTGCGATTTGCATAGACATCTGTATCAGAAGTCTTGCAAATCACATCTGAAATCTGCATGTCATCTGACTTCATGTGACATCACTGTAAGTTGCACAGTTTGATGAGACCAGGGTGTTTAACAAAAAGATGAAAATGAACTGTAGCCCATTAAAAGATAAAATAACAAAAACAGCTTTTGCTGTAATATTCATCTTCAATTCTCTGATTCTCTGAATTCAATGAATTCTCTGAATTCAATGACTCTGTACTGCAGTACTTTTTTCTGCAACTAGATGTCCCGAATCTGATGGCCAGAATCATTCAACTTACTTCCTCTGAGCCCAGGTCATCCGCAATCCATCCAAGTCTGTGAGTGGACAGTGAAAGGGGAAACAGCACAGAGCTCAGCTCTCTGCTACTTTGCTTTCTCTTCCTATCAGCATGAACTGATTGGCTCCCTTGGCTGCTACTTCCTCTCACACTCCAGCCTTACTGTACAGGGACTGCAAGAGGCTGATGCCAAGTCAAATTCAGTTACTTACATCGCTTACCTTTAACCACCTTCCGCCCGCCCTATAGTACAATGACGGGCGCAAGGTGGTTCTCTCGTTCTGATAGGACGTCATATGACGTCCTACCATTCTCACTGCGCATGCGCAGCTCAGGGAGCGTGCAGCGCGGCGATCGCCAGTGCGCTGTGTCCCTCGGACACAGTGGATCACGGAAAGAGCCGAAGATGTCGGCTTGGTCATGTGATCAGCTGTGTCCAATCACAGCTGATTACATGTAAACACGGAAATGCTGGTTATCGGCATTTCTCTCCTCTCGAGCTGTCACGCTGACAGCTCAAGAGGAGAGGAGAGCCGGTAACCAGCTTTCTGCGGAGGGGACATGTACACTGATCATCAGGGCACTGATGATCAGTGTGGCCCCAGAAGTGCCACCTGTCAGTGCTCATCAGTGCCAGGTGCCAGTGCCCATCAGTGCCACGTGCCAGTGCCCATAAGGCCACATATTAGTGCATACCAGTGCACATCAATGCCACATATTAGTGCCCATCTGAGCTGCCTTTTCAATGTCACCCATCAGTGCCAGTCAGTGCCACCTATCAATGCCAATCAGTGCCACCTATCAGTGCTGCCAATCAGTGCCACCTGTCAGTGCCAGTCAGTGTCTCCTATCAGTGCGCATCAGTGCCAATCAGTGCCGCCTATCAGTGCCAGTCAGTGCCGCCTAACAGTGCCACCTATCAGTGCCATATATCAGTGTCATGTATCAGTGTCATGTATCAGTGCTGCCTTTCAGTGTCCATCAGTGATGCCTGTCAATGCCCATCAGTGCAACCTACCAGTGCCTCCTCATCAGTGCCCATCAGTGCCACCTATCAGTGTCCATCAGTGCAACCTATCAGTGCCCATCACTGCAGCCTCATTAGCGCACATCAGTGAAGGAGAAAAATCACTTATTTACAAAATTGTATAAGAAAAACTAAGAAAAAACTTTTTTTTTTCAAAATTTTCAGTGGTTTTTGGTTTGTTTAAGAAAAAATAAAAATCCCAGAGGTGATTAAATACCACCAAATGAAAGCTCTATCTGTCTCAAAAAATGATAAAAATTTCATATGGGTACAGTGTTGCATGACCGCGCAATTGTCATTCAAAGTGTGACAGTGCTGAAAGCTGGAAATTGGCCTGTGCAGGAAGGGGGTATAAGTGCCCTGTAGGCTAGTGGTTAAACAATACATTTAATGATGTATTAATGAATACAGACCAGCATTATTTGGCATCTTATATACGTGTCTATCTGCTATAACAGCTGGGACTGTTTTTAAATGTATACAGCAGACAATGGACTTTCAGGTAGAAGTGCTTCCTGATTGCTTCCACAGCCATTGAAGGTACCCCACCCTTTGCTGGACTGCCCCTGCCATGTATCCTGGGCTCCACTGACACTCCTGCAGAACTGGGACTGGCATGGCAGATGTTGGCAAGTGGAATGGAGGGAGACCCAGAAATATAGGTTCACTGATGCCCCCTTCAGTTAATGAACACAGAAGTTATGTGTATTATGCCATGTCTGAGTTCGGCTGTCACTTGCCCTGGCCACTGTGACCAGTGAAGAAGCTAATGGAGTACAATTTGTGCTCCATTAGCTTCAGTGGAAGACAGGTGAGTTATCAGAGGTCTTACAGATGCCCTGATGTCTCAGTAAAGGAAACCTATTGCTACATTATGTTACCAGATGGGGGCAATAGCGATAAAGTTAATTGTAAAAGAAAAAAGTTTAAAAAGTAAAGTAAAACACAAACATTTTAAAGCGCTGCATACACACAGCTAAGAACATAAACACATGCATCTGGTGAGCCTAATTACAAAATTACCAATTTTGCTGCACATGTTACATATTGCTGCAAACGCAATGCCCATGGAAATTTTGGGTGACAAATTGTGTCACCGTTTTACGGGGACACAATATTAAGGTTGGACATGTTTGGTATCTGTTTACTCATCTCAACCTCATCTGTTATATTTTACTATAAAAAGTGTATTATATTGTGTTTTTGTGCACTAAAAACATCTTTAGTGTATTTTCTCACTGAAAAATTGTGTTTGATAACAAAATTGTTACTACCACTATTTTATTCTCTGGGGTCTTTCCTTTCAGAAAATATATACTGTATGAGGGGTTTACCTAATCTTCAGGACTAAATGTACATTTTAACATGTGTACAATAATGGAAAAAAAAATGAATGTGTTAATTTACACACACCTTAGCCAACCCAGTATCCTATTGAGTTTTAATGAATTTGCAATCCCACAAACTCATTAGAGGTGTTGAACTTACACAAAGAAACCAAAGAAATGGATGGCCAACATTAAGTTATGCATAGTATGGTCATATAGAGTGTCTGCCACTTACACAACTATTGTTACCAGCAAACTTCCAATGTGTTCTGACAGAATGACAGCTGCTGTCATACAGACATCAGTGATGTTGTCTAATGGTGACTCAAATGATCCTGGTTAAAGACAAGATAATCTGACCAATCTGCATGTTTGGCACAATCCATACTTTCAGTATGGACAATGAAGAACTCCAGGCAAATGGTCAAACATACTTTCTTTTTGCAGATATCCAGTATAAAATGAATCGTTGGTAAACCTTTCAGGCTTGCTGTATATGAATAAATACCTGCATTTTTTTAAATTAATAAGTATCATGCAATGTGGTGCTGAACACAATAGTTGGTGAACCTTGGCAGACTATTCCTCCCACTGATATGAGGCACTATTCTGACAAGTGAAACCAACAATGGAGCACTATTCCTTCCACTGACACTAACAATGGGGCACTATTCCTCCCACTGACACTAACAATGGGGCACTATTCCTTCCACTGACACTAACAATGGATTACTATTCCTTCCACTGACACCAACAATGGGGCACTATTCCTCCCACTGGCAACAGCAATGGCGCACTATTCCTCCCACTGGCAACAACAATGGGGCACTATTCCTCCCACTGACAACAACAATGGGGCACTATTTCTCCCACTGACAACAACAATGGGGCACTATTCCTCCCACTGACAACAAATTCCTCTCATTGAGAGCAGCAATGGTGTACTATTTGTTGCTTATATAAAGTGTATCATGCCCATATAAACCTGAAGCGTTTCAAGACTTGCTATTCCTCAGGGGCATTATTTTATTATGGTACCCTAAAAATCCCTTCCACCCAGTATATCCTTTGTTGGTACACCAACATTTTTGGGATGGACACTGACAAAGTCTAAAATCACAGTGCCATGGTTAAAATAAGGAACATAAAGCATGGCAGAGTGGCCACTGGGAGTTTTAGGGTTGCTGCTCCAGAACAGAGATATGTATTGGGGGGCATCAGAAAGTTGTTTTAGGTGTAGCCTTGGGAAGACAAAATGACCTAAAGTAAGCTTTGACTGAGGTTCACTTGAAAGTAAATTTGTTCTTTGCACTATTGGGCAAAGCATCATCATAATGCATTTAACCTGCATCAGACATACAGGGGTAGATTTACTAAAACTGGTGCACTCAAAATCTGGTGCAACTGTACATGGTAGCCAATCAGCTTCTAACGTCAGCTTTTTCAATGAAGCTTTGGCAATAAAACCTGGAAGATTCAGAACTGCACCAAATTTGGCACTCTCTAGTTTTAGGAAACAACTCCTACTGTACCTGTTCTACAGATCCTTAAAGCAGTCAGTGCTCTAACTCATCCCCTCTGCAGAACTTTGCAATTGGCTAGAAAAAAATAAAATATATAAACAAACAAATATATACATAAAAACTAAAAAACGGGGGGGGGGGGGGGCATGTCCAAGATGGCGACTGGAGCGGTCGCATTAGCGGAAGCTCCGGCACACACTTTCTGAACTGGTGGTTACATCGGTAGCTACACTCGGTTGGTGACCCTCGGGGACCCCCTCGGACCTGTCGGTGACTGGTGGGTGAGTCTGGGGTGCTCCCTGTGTCCCTCGGAGGTGCCGTTGGGATTTGCTCCGCTGCGGCCTGCTGTGGCTCCTCATGGTGCCGCCCTCCTCGTGAGCTGTCTCATGCTATAGCGGGGCTGGTTGGTGTTGATGTCCCGGTTACTGGAGGCTTGCAGCTCGGCATCCTGATAAAACAACCTGAGATACTTGCAGCTCTTACTTACCTGGTGTGAAGACCTTGAGAGTGTCTGGACTGCTCCTCGGCGGCGATCCGGTGAGGCCTGCCGCGACTGACTCATCACTACGCCATCCTGCAATCCATTGCCATCCAAACGGTGGAGTCATGGTAACAGGCTTGGCAGATTAGAATACCCCTTCTAACACTTGAGAGATTATATTGGGGCATATATTTCTTTTTTACTGCAGCGATGTCTGCTTAATATTAGTTGGGTGATTTGTATTGGGGCCTACTGCTGTGCACTTTGTGTCAACTTTGTCTGCACTTAATCATTTATTTGCTGGACACTTTTTGGTGGATGGTGTGAGTTTTGCAGCCCCCTTGGCACCTAGGGGAGAGCTTCGGGTCACATTGGGACTTTCTGTGCTAACAACTGACTGACAGGTCCCTAGGGATTTGCTGTGTATCCCTTCATCATAAGCTCAAGTCCTTAATTTGCTGCACAATATTACAATTTATGGTGTGAAGATATATCTACTCTTCAGTTATTATTGTTGAAACTCACCATTTTTGTGACTCTGTGCTCACCCACGACATTTTTTTCTGCTTAGCTGTGTAATCCCATTTCACCCATGTGATCACCCAAATGCTTACTTTTTTGCCCCTATGCTGCACCTAAGAATTGTGATTAGTGTATCTTCAGGTCTGACTGCTGCAATGTAACTACCACTTTAAACCTGGTGCGGACGCTACTGGTCACCTGGGGCCATTTTTATCACTGGCACCTTTCAAGCTTTCTTCTATCACCCCCAGGAGTCTTTTTCAATGCCGTCCACCAAGAAGAAGAGTAAGGGTAATGCTCAAAAATCCCTTACGACTTATCTACTAAAAGCACACGATATAAGTAGTATGACACAAGATATCGCAGATCGAGTATCTCCTGCTGGTTCTATACAAGAACATGCAGCTCAGTCTCCAACTCAAGATAATGAAGATGTGCAACAACTTACTAAGGGGGACTTGGTAAATTAGCAACTAAGTTCCAACTAGAACTCCACAAAAGCACGAATGTTCTTTCTCAGGAAATTAGCTGCATTAAGCTCTAGAACGGATCGTCTGGAGACTAAACATGATGAGCTCAATCTGGCGTACGGCGAACTCTCCAGAGATCACGATCATATGATTACGGCCTATTCGCAGCTCCAAGCTCAAGTGGAAGATCTTGACAACCGTAATCGCAGACACAATCTTCGTATTCGAGGTATTCCAGAGACGGTGACTGACCTCTCACAGGCCATGGCCACCTTATTCAGATCTCTACTTCCAGATCCTGATGCTAACTCTCTGGTCTGTGATCGTATCCACAGAGCATTGCGTCCAAAATTCCCTAGTGATAAACCACCTCGTGACATTATCTTATGTATGAAGGACTTTATGACTAAAGAAGATATCCTTAAAGCTGCTCGCAACACTCCTACTATCACTTTTTGAGGGCTCGACACTTCAAATTTTTCCAGATGTCTCTCCTGCTACTCTGGACAGATGTAG